CCCTTTCCGGGATTCCTGCCTCCACAAACTCTCCCCACTCCCTCCCGGGACCCCGCCCCCGCCGCCTGCCCGCATGCACCCTCAGACCCCGCCCATCCCCTTCTCCCTCCTCAACCCGATCTGCGCCCCCCTTCCGCCAACCCTGGCCCCGCATCCTCACCTGAACCACCCTTCCCTGGACTGTCCCCCCATCCGCCCTGCCCGCCTCGCTAGCGGCCCCCTCCCTGGACCCGCCCCTCCCCGGGGTGCTGCGAGCGCACGGCCATCACCCACAGCCCGCAGGGCGTACTGTGACCACCCCTTTGCCGCCCCAGCCTGGACCTGGCGACCTGTACAGTGTACGTGGCCTGAGGAGCGAGCCCTTTGGGGAAACTGAGGCTGGCCCGGGGGTGAACTTTCCAGGCCCGCAGCTGCCCCCAGGTCCCTGGCCCCTCCCTCGCTGGGCTTCCCTTCCCTTCTCACATGTGGCAGAGGTGGGCAGATACCCCTTCCTCTCCCAGGGCAGGGTGCCCCCTCCTGCCCCTCCCACTGTCCCTAACTCAGCGATGGCCTGGCTGTTGTGGGTCCTCTGGTGGGGGCACCTCCTTTCTATGTCATGTCCAAGTCCTGTCCCCCCTCCCTCCAGCATCCCCCACAACTGGCTCCATTGGCCCCTCTAGTGAGGACCCTCCAGCTACCAGGGCCCTTCTTTAAAACTCTGGTGCTGACCACACCACCCTCCTGCCCCAATCCACGGGACTCCCCGATTATTGGGACCAGCTCCAAACTTTGGGCTGCCCTGCGTACTGCACCTCCCCCTAGTTCCTTGGACACCCTATACCAAGCCTGCTGCCTGCCTTTGCTCAGACTCTGCCCCTCTGCCCTCCTCCTTTGCCTCTCCAACCCCGTTTCTTCTGGAAGCTTCCCTCACACTCTCCCTGCTCCCAGACTCAGTGAGTTCTTCAGGCGGCCTCCCCCACCAGCCCCTTCCACAGGCTTTGGGCCAAGCCCTGGCCACCCAGTGAGCACCAGGTGCCATAGCAGGTGAGGGAGGGGACTGTGCAGGAGCCAGAGTGGATTGGGGGGCAGCAGGGGCAGCAGCCATGCTGAGAGACCAGGAGGAGTTGCCAGCCTCCAATGCCAGTCCACAGGGGCACCAAGCAGGAGCACCTAGTATAACCCTCCTCATGCACGCCAGCCCTGACCAGCCCCTCCCACTGCTTATCCACAAATCGGGCTCCACTTTCCAGCCGTGAACCAGCCTCCTGCTGCTCTGCCTACTCCCTCGTCCACTGGGCTCTGGCCACTCTGGCCTCCATGGTTCCATGGACCCCACCCACCACCACCACCCCTCCAGTTGAGGTGCCAGCTGTCACCTCTGCCTGGGATGCTCTTCCTCCTGGCATCACAAGGCTGGCCTTCTCCACTTCAGGGGGAGCTCCACTGCCCCCCTTTCCCTGACTGCCTGTATAATAAGGCCTCAGAGCTCAAGTGCTGCCTTTACAGGTACCCAAAAGCCTAACTGTGAGTTCCCTGCTCTCACCAGATAGCACCCACCCAGCAGAAGAGGCTGTTCCCCACCTGCCTAGTTTCACCATCAGCCAGACCAGCTGCAGCCCAGCCAGTCCTCAGCCTAACAGATCTCACCTCCTTATTATTCAAACAGTCAATCACATCCTCAAACCAGGCGGCATCTCACCCTCTTTTTACTACAAAGCCTGCCTCCCACAGCCCCAGGCTCTTCACTCCCCAGGGCAACATCCATGTGGCCCTGCGTGGTGAGCTGCGTCCTCCTCCCCAGGGCTGTGAGTATATGTGACTAATGAACTCCTGTCCATCTCACCTGACCAGTGTCGGGTGTCGTGTGTTTGGCCATCTCGTACTATTTAGAGTGGGGGATCCCTCCCTCACTAATGGGGTGGATAGGAGGCGAACAGAACACCACCATGCCCTCATCACTCAGTTTGACTCTCTCCATGATGCCCAATACCAGGGCCATGATCTTTTTTGTGTGTGTGTGTGAGGAAGATCAGCCCTGAGCTAACATCCATGCCAATTCTCCTCTTTTTTTTGCTGAGGAAGACCAGCTCTGAGCTAACATCTATTGCCAATCCTCCTCCTTTTTTTCCCCCAAAGCCCCACTAGATAGTTGTATGTCATAGTTGCTGTATGTGGGACACCGCCTCAGCATGGCCGGAGAAGCAGTGCGTCGGTGCACACCTGGGACCTGAACCTGGGCTGCCAGTAGCGGAGCGCACGCACTTAACTGCTAAGCCACGGGGCCAGCCCCTCAGGGCCATGATCTTATCATCCCAGGCACACCTGCTGTCTTCCCTGGGGCGTGAGCCCCGTTGACTGGTGGACTCCCGGGCCCCTGGCTGCAGTGAGTACTCAGTACCCACATGTAGACATGCTCACTGGCCCCCTGAGCTGCAGAGAGGAGCACTGGGGAAGAGTCAGCTGATACATTTCCAGCAGCTGTGTGAGCGAGCCAGTGGTTAACAGGGCGTTGATGAAAATTGTTATACAAACTTGCAATGAAATATATGATGTTAAAAACAAAAGCAATAAGTACTCAAAACATTATATTTCCTTATTATTTCACTACATCTTACTATTCTCTGTGCCTTGAGGGTATCCCTGACTTTTGTATCCGATGGTGAAAAGACTCTATAATGACACACATCTCTTCCCACATCACATGTAGTGACTTCCTGCTGGTAGCTTGAAGCTGGCTGTGGAAGGAGTACAGTCAATTCTGCTCTAAAGCCTGTTTTGAAAACAGAAATTTGTTCCGACATGATGGATACATTAGGGAAGGATTTGAGCATGAGATCAAACGTGGTGTTGCTTATGCAGGATTTGGTCTGCAAGAAACACTGGGTGAAAGTGGAAAACTGCACCTGACTGACCTGGGCCTCGTGGGAATACACAGCCCCCTGCACACACAGCCCTCAACATCTATGCGCTCTCTCATGTGTTAGGAGCTGCCCACCTGCCCACTCATCTGGGGTGACAAAGTCCTGGTCCTCTGAGCACCTCTCAGTGACGCACAGGCCGCAACCCTCCCACACCCATGTGCGCACGTGAACCTCAGGTCTTTTCCAAGGCCAAGTGCCAGGTGTGCTGTAGGATTCACATCATTCTTAGCCATTTAACCTGTGTACAACGACACTACTTTTAGTAGGTGCCATCTTTTTTTAATGTGCTCTGACCCCGTTTTCCCATAAGCCCTGTGGCTGGTGCTAATTTGCAGAGCGCCAGCACTTTTAGGAATGTCACATCAAGGCAGAGCTGGCTGTGTCTGCTCCACGGGGAGAGATTGTTAAACATCTCCTAGCACACTGGTGATGAGCAGCATAGAGGTCTGGGTCTGGGTGGGAGGATGAGGTAGACAGTCCTACTGTTTTGTTCTCCCACGGAATCAGTTGGCTTCTGGGCCTGCCGAGTGCCCAGCAGTCTGGATGTGGGGGAGCAAGACAGATGTGCAACCCCACCCCCTGCAGGGGATGGGGTCTCAGCACAGCATGGCAGGGACCCCAAAGTCAGAGGGGGAACCAGGGGTGCCTGTGTGCAGCAGCAGCTGTGGGGTGTAACACTCACTGCCCAGGAGGGCACAGCCAGGTCATCCCTTGGGGAGCAGCCAGTGATACTAATGAAAATGTGGAAATTAATAAAAGAAACCTTAGCTAAACTGGGTGCGGAAGGCCTGTAGGGGGAGCTCTCACCCCCATCACACACCATCAATTACACCAAAGAGGAAGAGAGGACCTAGCATCTTGGACAGGAAGTAAAACTACTTTACCACTGAAGGAAGATTTCTCCCCACCCAGCAACAGCCCAGCCAATGGGAAATGCCACAGCTCAGCCAGTGAGAAATGCTGCAGCCCAGCCAATGAGAAATGCCACAGCCCAGCCAATGAGAAATGCCGCAGCTCAGCCAATGAGAAATGCTGCAGCTCAGCCAATGAAAAGCTGTTGCTGCCCTGAACTGTCACTTTCCCCCAATGGACTTGCCTTTAGAACCGCCCCTCCCTACTCCCCCTTTTTCTCTATAAAAGCAGCTCCTCTTCTTTGTTCGCTGCATTTGCCTATGGTTTGCCATAGCATGCACGTCCCGAATTGCAATTTTTTTGGCTATTCCCGAATAAACTTGTTTTGAGAATAAAATAGGCGAATTTGCTTCTCAAGTTGATACTAATGAAGCTGAAATTGCATGTGACCTCTGACCCTGCTGGAAGGATGTGGATGCATCCAAGGTGACCCAGCCAAGAGGTTTTACAGCAGCACATTAGGGGCAGTGAATAACCAGAAGCAGCCTGAGTGTCCATCCATGGGATAAGGGACAAACAGATGAAGGAAGGACGTGCCACATGTGATCCCCAAACAGGGGAAATGGGGTATAGGGAAAACAGCAGCCACGGAGAGGCTTGAGACATGCTCTTCCTGCGCGTGTGTGATCTCTGTTGTCCTGTGTCTCTTGTGCTCCCAGCATGTGAGGACCAGGAGTGCTACCTCCATGGAGAAACAGAGGCCTCTCCACACAGCCAGTGCGGGCCCACTCCCAGGGCCAGGGGCCCAGGGTGGGCTGAGAGGGAGGCTCCTCAGCTGGCCTCAGGTATGGGCAAGGGGGCTTCTTGGTTTCCCCCAAACCCAGGGGGCCCAGGAAGCCAGCCTCAATATCTTCTCAAGGACTCCCAGGTGTCCAGAAAAGAGTGACACCCAAGGAGAGTGGGCAGGAGAGGCTACTCAGGAGCAAGGTGGAAAGGCAACTGAGAATCTCATTGGAGCAGGAAAGGGCCTTCCAGGGCACCTTTACAGATGGAGAAAAATCCGGACTGGAGCTGCCCACACTCTCCCTGCTGCATGTGGAGAGGAGTACACATTTGCTCTCCGCAACAACCAAAATGTTTGGGGCATCTGTGTGTGTGCATGTACACATCATATATGGGTTCCCAGTCTGACAGGTGCATGGGAGGAAGAGCACTGTATGAGTTTCCTGTGGCTGCCATAACAAATTACTGTAACTGGGTGGCTTAAACAACAAGACTTTAGACAACCCACAGGATGGGAGAAAATATTTGCAAATCATACATCCAAGGACAGATTAATATCAAGAATATATAAAGAGTGCCTACAAATCAACAACAACAAAAAGCAAACCACCCAATTCAACAACGGGCAAAGAATCTGTATAGATATTTCTCCAAAGAAAATACACAAATGGCCAACAAATATGTGAAAAGATGCTCAACATCACTAATCATTAGGGAAATGCAAATCAAAACCATAATGAGATACCACTTCACACTTATTACAATGGTATTATTTTTTAAAAAAACAAACAATAACAAGTGTTGTTGAGGATGTGGAGAAACTGGAACCCTTGTGCATTGCTCATGGGAATGTAAAATGGTACAGCTGCTGTGGAAACAGTCTGGCAGTTCCTCAAAAAGTTAAACATAGAATTACCATATGATCCAGCAATTCCACTTGTCAACTTAAAAAGCCAATATGCCTGTTATTTTATCCTCAAAACGAGTCTATTGGGGAATAGCCAAAAGAATTGCAACTCAGGATGTGCATGCTATGGCAAGCCATAGGCAAATGCAGCAAAGAAAGAAGAGGAGATGATTTTATAGAGAAAAAGTGGAGTAAGGAGGGGCTGTTCTAAAGGAAAGTCCTTTGGGGGAAGTGACAGTTCAGGGCGGCAACGGCTTCTCATTCACTGGGCTGTGGCATTTCTCATTGGCTGAGCAGTGGTGTTTCCCATTGGCTGGGCTGTGGCATTTCTCATTGGCCGAGCTGTGACGTTTCCCATTGGCTGGGCTGTTGCTGGGTAGGGAGAGAAATCTTCCTTCGGTGTAAAGAAGTTTTATTCCTGTCCAAGATGCAAAGGTCCTCTCTTCCTGTTTGGTGTAATTGATGATGTGTGACAGGGGGTGAGAGCTCCCCCTACAGGCCTTCCAGCCTCTGGTTTAGTTAAGATTTCTTTTATATTTCCACACAATTTTGGGTATATACTCGAAAGACGAAGAGATTGTAAATAAGCATTGGTCTAAATAACAATATTTCCAGCAGAGAAAAGGTGTGAATTGGGTGTAGGGTTATGAGAATTAGAAATAAAAATACAGTTAAATTTGAATCTCAGATAAATATAAATTTGATGATACCTGGATAGAGCAACAAGGGCATATGCAAATTATGCAAATATACTTGTTTGCATATATATTTTTGAACAAGCAAACAACGTGCTTTAAGATGCCCACACTGGCAAAGATCCTCCTTTCCTTTTCTTCCTCCCTCTCTGGCTCTGTATTTCCAGCATCTCATGGAAACTGAACAGCCCAATCCCACTTTGCTGATTGATTTCTCGCTCAATAAGGAGAAAGGTGGATTTCGCACATGTCACCCCAAGGTGCCTGGCCCAGGGCTCCACCGAGGTCAAGGCAAACGCTAAAGATGTGGTCTCTGACGTGCAGGTTCCTCAGAGCCAGCCCCACTCACTGCTGTCTTTGTGCACAGTGTGTCCTGTTCTTCACCTCATGAAAACATCCACGCGACTTTGCAGCAGTGTAGAAGCCAGACGCAGGTGGCCAGAGGGTTTTCCCGTTATTTGTGATTCCAATCCATGGCAGAGGGAATGCTGTTTGCAAATGCAACAACCATTTCTGGGGATCTGTATGAGTTTCCTGTAGCTGCTGTAACGTATAACCAAAGACTGGGTGGCTTAAAACCACAGAATTTATTCTCTCATAGTTCTAGGGGCAGAAATCCAAAATCAAGGTGTCAGCAGAGTTGGTTCCTTCTGAGGTCTGTGAGGGAGAGTTCATTCCATGCCCCTCTCGAGCTTTTAGTGGCTGCCGGCAATCTTTG